ACAATGCATGACGTCATTGGTAAGAGACGGCCCCCGAACACATATGGTACCCCGAACACATCTGGTACCGACACCGGCTTAGCCTTGTCATTTTAGAGCAACTTCCAGGTTAAAGACACCTGTGAATAAATGTGTAGGAAAATGATGAATACCCTAGATTTTCAAAAAAATATACAGAAATATACACTACAGTGACATCTGGCGTCGTTTTTGTAAGAAATGTTCACTTCCGCATAAAAAAGCCTCGGCACGTGACCTCCCGCGTGTGACGTAACACGGGGGACACAAGGGTTATGGCTAGACGTGCCGAGGCTTTTTTATGCGGAAGTGAACATTTCTTACAAAAACGACGNTGACTGGATTAAATAATGTCTGATGAAAATGATACGAGCCGAGGAAATATTTGAACCTATAAAGACATAAAACATGTCACAGTGTTTTAGCGCGTTGCACCAATTTAAGAAGTTTTTATATTGTACTGATACTGACTACCACTCTGATCATAATCCCTTCCTCAATACTCCCGAAGAAGCAAAGAACGATCATCAATGACAGAGAGCATATGAACTGAATCATTACTCTGTGTCCGCTTCACGCTCAGAAGAGAATATCACGTCTCATCATCGTGGGTAGCGAGACCAATCACTTTAGAAACACATTTCTCAAGTCAGAAACTATAGAAATTATCCCTGAAAGTATAGTCTTAGTTTGTTGAAGGGTGAAAGCTGCACCTGATTCACAGGAAACGTACTATCACTGAGGGTTCCTGCCTAACAATATAAAAGTCCATTTCGTCAAGTTATGTGATTGATGTTATTAACAGCAATGCAAGTTAGCTTGTGGCAAAGCATCAATTATCCTTATGATAAACAGTATGACCTTTAACGTAAGTTAAACCATGCCTGTATCAGATTCAATTTAAAGTGCAGAAACAGTGACCTCTATAGGAGAACACAGCAAATAGCTGCAGGGGAAAAGAAGCGCAGTTCAATCCGCAGCTGCTGAGGACACAGCAATGAGGTGAAATTGACCATGTGACTCTGACTTGAACAACACTGATTTTAGCCTGTATCAAAACTTAAATTACAGCTAAAACACTGGCTTGAAACAGAGCTGACAGAGCTTTAAAGTGAACATTTTGACAAACCAAAAGGCGTACTGAATATGTGTGCTATGGGGGTCTGGAGCTCAAACAATGACTTTTCCTCACAACACTGTTTCAGTGTACCTGTTTTCTAGAATAAGGGCTGCGTTAAGTCAAAGACCAAATCACTAGCGACAACGTAGGCTGACTGGATTAATAATGTCTGATGAAAATGATACGAGCCGAGGAAATATTTGAACCTATAAAGACATAAAACATGTCACAGTGTTTTAGCGCGTTGCACCAATTTAAGAAGTTTTTATATTGTACTGATACTGACTACCACTCTGATCATAATCCCTTCCTCAATACTCCCGAAGAAGCAAAGAACGATCATCAATGACAGAGAGCATATGAACTGAATCATTACTCTGTGTCCGCTTCACGCTCAGAAGAGAATATCACGTCTCATCATCGTGGGTAGCGAGACCAATCACTTTAGAAACACATTTCTCAAGTCAGAAACTATAGAAATGATCCCTGAAAGTATAGTCTTAGTTTGTTGAAGGGTGAAAGCTGCACCTGATTCACAGGAAACGTACTATCACTGAGGGTTCCTGCCTAACAATAATAAAAGTTTCCATTTCGTCAAGTCATGTGATTGATGTTATTAACAGCAATGCAAGTTAGCTTGTGGCAAAGCATCAATTATCCATCCTTATGATAAACAGTATGACCTTTAACGTAAGTTAAACCATGCCTGTATCAGATTCAATTTAAAGTGCAGAAACAGTGACCTCTATAGGAGAACACAGCAAATAGCTGCAGGGGAAAAGAAGCGCAGTTCAATCCGCAGCTGCTGAGGACACAGCAATGAGGTGAAATTGACCATGTGACTCTGACTTGAACAACACTGATTTTAGCCTGTATCAAAACTTAAATTACAGCTAAAAAACTGGCTTGAAAAAGAGCTGACAGAGCTTTAAAGTTGAACATTTTGACAAACCAAAAGGCGTACTGACTATGTGTGCTGTGGATTCTGGAGCTCAAACAATGACTTTTCCTCACAACACTGTTTCAGTGTACCTGTTTTCTAGAATAAGGTCTGCGTTAAATCAAAGACCAAATCACTTGCGACTACGAGGCTGACTGGATTAAATAATGTCTGATGAAAATGATACGAGCCGAGGAAATATTTGAACCTATAAAGACATAAAACATGTCACAGTGTTTTAGCGCGTTGCACCAATTTAAGAAGTTTTTATATTGTACTGATACTGACTACCACTCTGATCATATTCCCTTCCTCAATACTCCCGAAGAAGCAAAGAACGATCATCAATGACAGAGAGCATATGAACTAAATCATTTCTCTGTGTCCGCTTCACGCTCAGAAGGGAATATCACGTCTCATCATCGTGGGTAGCGAGACCAATCACTTTAGAAACACATTTCTCAAGTCAGAAACTATAGAAATGATCCCTGAAAGTATAGTCTTAACTAACAGGCGGCTGAATACGGAACCTAATTCACAAGACTACCTTTCTCAGTCATGGTTCCCTCATACCGTAATATCTGACAAAGGCCACCACTAAATGAGTACCTCACAACCTTCAATAATACCTACATCAATTTAGTCTAATATTTTAAAACAACAGTTTTATTCAATCTCACAGTTCAATTCTATTGACCCACAATGCATTGCGAATTGAGTCACACAACGTCTGTGCTATTTGTTGTGTGTTTTATAAGGATTGCACGAGCCGAACCTACACAATTAATGGTAGTTTTCAATGCTTAAAAATAAGTCAACAGCGACGAAATGTAAAGCACTCAAACAGTATTTAAATTGGTTTACATGTGATATATGCTGAATGGTGCGTCGTATCTAATGTTCCTGACAGAAACAGGTCAGCGAAATGAAGTTCCGTGTTCAACTCCAACAATGGATACGCATAGTTATAATGGTTTCGAATTTGTAATATTAAAACTTCGGAAATACCCACGCAGAAGAAGTGGTAAACGATTTCGGACAGCGAAATTATATTGTAACATATGGGGGGGCTGCATGTTTTACTGTGACACACCGCTACACTGTTGCAGTTTCATCAGTAGGCCTACTGTATTTCCTTCGACACACGATGGCAGCATTTCTGTAACAACTTTATCGAGGACAAATTCATTGAATTGAAGAGCTCCATCCTGTTCTAAAAACCAGTAATGTTAAAGAACACTCTCACAAATATGGGCTTTAAAGCTGTATACATTATTCATAACTTATGACATCTGATAACAACGCTTACATTTTGTAGCCTACCTTCTGCTTCTTCTGCAAAAGGTGATTAACACAACATGCGTTTAACGAAAACTAATGACGGCAGGTGAGGTAATGTTATTTTATTTTTTTTGTAAGATACATTTCTCTAAACAAACACACATTTTAAAATATAATATTGGAAGAGAACTAGAGTATTATGGGATCCGGTAACCAGCATAAACCATAAACTGATATCTTAAGCGTGTGTGGCACTAGCAGGTTAGCATTTTAGCCTCAGTGCTACCTCATAACTACCAACAATGTGACAACAAACTTACCAAAGTCCTCAGCAGATTTGGGAGTTCAGAATTCAACAATAAACATAGGCTACCCTGTATACATTAAAATGGTGTGATATCTCCATCTTTGTCAGTTTAAAATTAATTAAATTACTTAATGTGTTTCCTCAGTGAATAAATTACCATGTCTGCTTAAAATAGTTTATTCATGCATGGAAATTAAATCACCAGGTCCACTGACTGTGGTGACAAATTCATTATTGCTAACACGGTTAGCATTATTTACATCATGAGAAAAAAGTTTCCAACAACCTTCATTTCAATATATTTTAAATATATTCCATATTTCCACATCAAGACACAACAAATTCACAATCACTCAAAAATGATATTCAATGATTCGTGCTATATATATATAAACCTTAACGATTGGGTCACAAAACACATATAATGTAGTCATTGCACATGTTCGGCAATTATGTTGCTGTATAGAGCTACACAGTGCTGAATAAGTAGCTTAGTTTGGCTTGCTATGTGATATTTTCTCAGATGAGAAAGGGAATGTAAAGAAGGCACTGATGTGGATATCTATGTCATATATCTTGCCATATATATTTTCATACATGCAACTAAGACAACACAAAATGTCCCAAACATT